ATAGTGTACCCAAAATAAAAGCAATGCAGTGTCAAACACACTACGGTAGCATTCTTCAACTGCACATTTAACCCTAAGTTTTTGAAGACAAAAAGCAAGGAAACTCTCTTTGTGAGTGCTAAATCAAGCAAGTTTTACTTCCAAAAACATGCAAAACAGCCAAAGACCACTTTCTATTGGTACTGAAGAGGCATGAGTATTTTACAAGATTCCATTGAAAAATATCCAGAAAATATGGGTTACCATCAGCAAGGTTGCAACATCAGGCTTCTCTTTCAGGTTGCCAAGGATCCCCTCTAGTTGTTTCCTGGAAGCAAAATTCCAAATAAGACAGTCTAAATCCTGTACAATATTATCCTGCAGTGATATAACTTGTTCAGTACTCCCCCCCCTCCCCCCTTGCACAATCAATAATTCATTTGTTGTATAATTCAGCATCATCTCATTAAGTCCCTTTTCACAAAAAATAGTTGAAAAACCTTAGTATTTAAAGAGAAAGAAAAAATTAATATGTTTATTCAACCACTATTTAAAGAGAAAGAAAAAGTCATAGATGCTTGAAACTGTTGCTTCAATGATGTAAAGAATGAAGATTACATAAGTCATTGAACCACCTTAGAAATACCTTTATTTTATATCATTCATGAAATTTATAAGATTTTTGTCCATATAATGCATACCTTGTCTTCTTACAGAACTGGATACAGAGACGATATGGGACAAGCCATGAGGTAGGAAAGATTTTCCAGATTTCCTCATTTGTTCTCATTCGACGCTTGATCCATGCATACCTTCGTTCCGTTTTATCCAGTTTAGCTAGTTCTGATTAGACAGCAAGCGTCAAGACTTTAAAACCATTCAAACTAATTGTGAAAGCTTCATGTATAAAGTAAATATTAGAGATTTATATTGAAAGGGAGGATGAAGCCACACAAACCAGCTCCTTCAAAGATCTGTTCATATGAAGTAAGCTCCCTGCTGCAAAAGTTATTTACTAACTCTTCTCTCACAGATGGTTCCAAGGCATCGACAACTAAACAAGCATCAGATAAGTGCTGCAGCAAATTACTCTCTTCGGACTCTTTGCCAGTTCCTAAGCTGTGATTAAAACCTCAAACTTATAAAATACAAAAAATCGACGTGAAACATAATTTAGTGGAAAGAATCAACAGCTGTAACTAGGTAAACAGAGTAATTATTCTTATTTGATTGTACAAGAAGCATAAGAAGGAATTTTATGTTTCTCTAAAGCTCCCCCCCCCCAAACAACATGACAAATTCTTCCAAGCCAACATCTAACAAGGTAAAATTTATCAATGTAATTCAACAATACTGTAAAGAATTACCTTCAGAAGAAATTTGTTCTATTTTATTTAATCTTTATTTGATTATATACAGAACCAATTTAATTCTATTTTATTAAGTTTCATTGCAATTGCTTAATAAATATCAAGATTTTGCAATGCCTCAACAAACCATATTGATGATTAGCTTCTAAATCTGCTACATAAAATTTCAATCCAAAGGAGGACAGCATCAAATTTATATACCACATACCTTGAGAAATCAGAGAAGACATGTGATTTCAGTATCTGTTTAATATTCTTGAACTTCTCCCTTAGCTCTGTGATTTTCGGAATATCCCTATAAGCTTCAAAATGACTACATAACTGATTTACAGCCTGAAATGCATAATAAATTGGACTTATTAAGATGAACCAGATCTTCGTAAAGCAACACTAAAGCAAACTTCAGAAAATGGAATTAGTATGATTAAATGAAACATGTACAATAATAGACGTTTACTTGGTAGAAAAGATGACAGAAACTATAGAACAAGTAGCGACGAGGGCAAGAGAACTTTTATGAGAAAAAAACAAAGACGAGAGAGAGAGAGAGAACTAATGAAAACTAAAGCAGCCAATGCCAGTTAAGGTAAAAGCATCTCTCAGCAAAGAAGTTATGAGTTGATAAATCAAATTTTCCCTCTGACAAGATAAAATTCGTAATATAAGAGGTAATTTATCCACCTTAGATATTTAGGAAAAGTCTGAAAGCCTAAAAAATTGTTCAATTTCAAAATACCTAAAACAGAAGAGAGAGGGACAAATGGAGTTGAAATAAGCCAAATGAAAGTGAAAGGTTCCATGTTTCCTCAATGATAAGGCAATTGGTAGATCAAATAAATGTATCAAAGCATGCCAAAATTAGATTCACTAAAACCATAAATATAGTCGTCTCTTGCAGCCATACATCTCAAATAAAAAGCCAAAAGAAATGAAATAGTTTTGACATCACTAGAAGTAGATTACCAATAAGATATTTGGTAGTTGCAATTATTAGCTTCCGTAGAGATAGCAAACAAACTACACACTCAGAAATAACATACCTCTAACTGGGCAGCTGCCTCCTTATATTGTCGTTTAGAAGCCATGACTTGAAGTTGCTCTACAGCAGAGACTGCCATGACATGGTAAGGATTTATATTAGAAAAGCATACAGTTTAAATAACTGTTAGAACCCATAGAGTCTTATGAAGCATATTTTACTATTGATCATAAACTACGTTGCTCAGACTTGCGTATAAGTGTTGGATGTCAAATGAACACATATAAAGAAGACCCAGAAAGAATAAAAAGTCTGACCTAGCATCGTCAGACGATGAAGAGCTGTAATTGTAGTTGTTATATGCTTCTTGGCAAAGTCCAGCTTCTTGATATCTCGGCATATTTCTTGAACCATCATCTCACTTTGCTCAGCTTTTGTTTTTATTTCATGGATTTTATATGTTAGTTCCTGTTTAGACAAAACAATACGGGTTCAAAATGGCCCAAAAGAGGGCAAAATTAAAAAAGAGAAACCCTAAAGAAATGCTTACATATAAAAGGATTGATACTAATAATATGAATGATTTTATTGAAAGCAACTGACAAATTCAAACAAACCAACCTCCACAGCATGTGTAGCAGCAGCTAGATCTTCCTTAGCTTTGGTTCCCGAATTGCTCTGCAATCAAAATAGCTTAATCATTTGTTACAGTTTCCTCAACTTTCCCAAAGACAAACTGTAATATCTCCTAGTTTACATGTTAGATGCAAAACCTCTAAAAACAATAGATTTTGAAAACGAATAAGAAAGATTCAATACCTGTTGACGAACAGCAGCCAATATTCCGGCATCCACACGACGAATCTCGCTTTGTATCTTTAGCATTAATGGCTCAACGCCAGATAAAGAAGCCTCTGAACATCAAACGAAATTTGGGAATCAATACCAGATAAATTCCAATCCATTAAACAATTTCATAACTTGGAGATCACATCTAAGGCTTAAATTCTAGCAAATCGGGTTGAAATATAACCGTTCGAAGATTTTCAAAGATCGTTTTTATGAGATACCTGTGGGGAACATCTGGTTGATGTACTCTAGAGTACTCATTTTGTCCATTGCCTCAAAAATTCTGATCCTGTCGACCTGGTAGACTTGTACAAGCAATCTTAAGACAAATTAAAAAGAGGATCTAAAGGAAAAAAAAAAAAAAAACCTAAGATATTAAAAAATTTTCAACTAAAATTGTAAAATAAAAGCAACATTACAAGATATTCAAATTAAAAAGAAAAAACTAGAGAAAATTTTGCTTCCTCCGAAAATTATACTGCCAGTCTACCGCACCAAGAAGAAGAAGAGTCTCTGCTTTGGATAGCTATGGGCCAGATTTGGACTCTCTTTTGGGCTTTCCGTTAAATTGAATTGGGTTTACTAACGAATTGGGTTATTGGACAAGGAAACGGAATGGAGAATAAGGCTAAGGAAAAAAATACTATTGAGTATTGATTTTTGATTGGGCTTTACGCTTTTTATAACAGATCGAATTTGTAAACAGTTTCTTATGGGCCAAGTAAAAGAAATTATAGCTGTTGAGAACCCTTTTTAACTGTTGAATAAATTATTTGTCATATTGTATCATATTAATTTAACTGTGACCATAAAAAAATCAGTAGTCGTTGAAACTTGAAAAATATAAGTATTTTAAATGGACATAAACAAGTATTCAAAAATTTAGGGTTCATTTAAAACAATCATAAAATTAATTATGGTAAAATTAAAAATAATAATAAATATTATTATTATTATTATTGAAAAAAATAAATATTATATTTATGATTGAAAAAATTTTAATAAAAAATTTATATTGAATTAATTTTATTAAAATTAATATTTTAATTTAATTGATGATGCGTAAAATTTAATTTTTAATGCAATAAAATTTAAACGGACATTTATTTAAAAAAAAAGAGGAATTTAAAGTTTCATTTCTTTCATGAAAAAATCTCATGTTTAAGATCTTAATTACCCGTGGTTAAAATACAAATAAAAATCTCTTGATATGAAATTATTTTAATTGGTAGGTAATAATAATAATAATAATAATAATAATAATAATAATAATAATAATAATAATGCTCAGTCCGATGCCAATCATGCCAAGACCTAGAAATTAGCATCCGCTAACATTTTATAACAGATGAAACTTTACAAAGGCTTTCTTATTATGGGTCAAGAAAAAAGAGGAGTTGAACCTGAAGAAAATTATCTGTCACATCAATTCTTTTTTTGTTTCTGCATTTCATTTGACCTAATATGACCACGTTAAAATCATTCTAGCCTAATTTTTAATGCAATAATAATAATTATGTTTAAAAATATTAGTAAAACTTTTCTGATTTAAAATAATTTTATTTAATAAATCAATTAGCGCAAATCAAAGTGAAACAGCAGAAGCGTAATAGGCCCACAATCTGTAAGTCCCAGGAACGAAGTCTGGCTCCGATATTTCAGAGTAGGCTTATCCTTTTTTTTGGGCTATCTTTTTTTTGGGATTTCATGATGTGGGCTTTAGCTGGGTTCAGATTTGTTTCGGGCATGCGAATGTAATGGGCCATCGGTTTTAAACGCCCACAAGCGTCAGGCCCTTAATAAAACAATGCTAAGTAACGAAGCGTGAAGAAAGCATAGGAATCGAAATCCAATAAACGCCCACATTTCCAAAATTCCAAATCCCAGCCCATCCGAGACCACCGCCACCAAAAGAAAGGGTAAGGAATCTGACCATGTTCCGGCGAGCGTCACGTCTCTTGGCTCGAACCACGACGGCCAGCACATGGAGGAGGAGTCGAGCTTTCTCCACGGACGTACCAGCCACACCCGCTCAAGATCCCAACTTCATCGACTCATGGAAGAAAGTGATACCCAACTTGGACCCTCCCAAGACTCCAGCTTCCTTCATGACCCCTCGCCCCGTAACCCCTTCTTCTATCCCTTCTAAAATCACCGTCAACTTCGTGCTTCCTTATGCATCTGAGCTCTCCTCAAAAGAGGTTTGTTTTGATCTCCTTTTTAATTAAAAAAAAAATATGGTTATTTTCTTTTCCTTGTATCGGGGTTTGCTATCTCTATAGTGTGATTAATGGCTATGGATTCGGCGTCTGGGTTTTGGTTGCATTTGGATTTTATTTTTAATTTGATTGATCATTTGAGCTGAGGCTTTGATTTAAGGCTTTTATTAATAGTGGTCATAAAAAATTTTAGGATTGTAGAATACTATCTGATTGGCTGTTTTAGCTTGGAATTTTGATTGCTTTTGCATTCTTCTCTCTCTTTGTATATAGGTTTCTTTTGATTTAATAAATTTGATGATCAACTTACAAATTAAAAAAGAAAAAAGCTAAAAATGATGACTTTATGCATTTAATGAGAATTCGTAGCTTGTGCAATCTGTTTTATTTTGTTTGTTTAATTTGAGAATTTTTTAGTTGATTCTATTAAGTTAATCTGACGGAAACACTGAATCCGTTATCTATCAAGCATTCTAGATAGAACCTAATAGCTTTTCTCTGCTTAACTGGTGGGTAATCGGATTGCATAGTTATTTTGCTTTGATGATTCTTATGTGTATACTTTTCTGAGAAATCACTTGTTTGGAGTTTCAGCTCTAGGATTATTAATGTCTATTGAATCGTGGAATGTCTTTAGCATGGTGACTATATGATATAGCACTTTATTTTTGTGTGAAATTTATGTAGTTAAAGTTTGAGTATTTTGCATTTTGGTGTGAATGATCAATGATAGTTCTGTTAATTTATCCAGATGGTGCATAAACCGAGGAATGTTTATAATACCAAAGCATTTTTAAACCCTTCATGCATAGGATTTTGTTTTATAAACCAAGAACCTTATGCAGCTTCTAAGAGCAATGAGAGCAAACCATATAAACCAAACAAGCCTAATGTAGTATATTGAACACTGATGAACCAAAAATTAGGTTCTGCGTTTACAAATATATTATATATAGACGCAGGGGAGGGGTTCGAATAACAAAAATCTATTTATGGAGACATTATTTTCTCAAGTTTCTGACTTGCAGTGCATCTAGTGTCTATCAGGTTGACATGGTAATAGTTCCAGCAACGACTGGACAGATGGGTGTTTTGCCTGGACATGTACCCACAATTGCTGAACTCAAGCCTGGGATCTTGTCAGTGCATGAAGGAAATGATGTAACAAAATATTTCCTTAGCAGTGGCTTTGCTCTTATACATGCCAACTCTGTTGCTGATATTATCGCCGTGGAAGCAGTGCCAGTCGACCGAATTGACCCTGGCTTGGTCCAGAAGGGTCTGGCAGAGTTTACCCAAAAGCTAGGCTCGGCTATAACCGATTTGGAGAAAGCGGAAGCCCAAATAGGTATCGACGTTCACAGTGCAATGAATTCTGCTATTACAGGCTAATTGTTTTCGTAATCAACTTCACTCAATCCTCTGGCTTTCTCATATTGCTTTCCACTTTGTGCATCATCAACTTTTTGATATGTCTTCATGATCAACAAATGACCGAGATCTGTCAAGATACCTACATCGTTGATTTTCAGATTTTGAAATAAAATTTTCAGAAACAAGAACCTTGTGATTGCTCTTTGTTTCCCAGTGATGCTTTTATCCATTAGAGGTTGGTTTGATGATACCAAAGAAATGGAGCGGCTTAGATCCGAAATATAAGTGACTTTAAAAAAAAAAAATGATGTCTGGCATCGAGCATGTCATGAGATCACCTGAACTCTTATGGGTTACACCATTTGATGCTGCTTTTGGTTCAAGTAGCGTGGACACATTTACTTCGTCCTTTTTTGTGTCGATTTTATTCACTTCTAAACTTTGCATCGAATAGGTAAGATCTAATGACTAATGTTGAAAAGCACAAATTTATTTTACTCAATACTTTCAGGGATCAATGTCTGTCCATATTTTTTATCGGTAACATGAAAATTTTGCAATTTTTGCACAAATACGTTATGTTTCAAGACACCAGAAGATGTTCAACAAGAAAGAAAGGCCTTTTTTTACACTCTTTTCCCATCAGAATCTCTATAATTGAATGGTAAGTGCGCTTTATTAATTGAAAAATATTATCATACATTGGGTGCTTAAAAATTATATAGAAACAAAAAAATGTGGAGGAAATGGGATAATAATAATAAATTAGAAGGCATCGGACGCATTGCCTTGGAAAATACAGCTTGTTGAGAGCAAGAAAAATACATACCAGCAATTGCCACTGGAAACTTCAAAATTCAACTACATAAGCCCATTTGCAAATGGTTAAACTCTCTTTGCTGGACCATGACTGCTGATCTCATTTACATGGCTTGGATCCTTAATTGCCAAAGGCAGCAACTGAACAAATATTGGAACTGTATGTTATAGAGAAGAGACAAGCCGAACAATTTGGTCACCAGAGGCATGTTAGATGTGGCTTTGAAGACTTTGTCATAATTTTGAGTGTTGTCTCCAAGGGGATCCCCCATCAAATGCATGCTCCAACACGTCTTCGACTCGCTTTGCAAGCAGAATCTGGCAAAATAATATATAGTGAGTGAAAAAGGGCACATTATGATTCTGTTTTATGTCTCAGTGCAGTAGTAATAAACCCAATTCAACCGTCAAAAGTAAAAGGATCAATTACTTCGACCATCATAATTATGTGTCTTTGAGATGCAAAATCCAATCAGTCACTTTGAAGCAGACTACATAAATAGATAGTTATAAGTAGGTTAAAATGTGTCTCTTCGATTTTTAAGAATTTAGCCTTATAGTATTATTTAAAAGAATTTAGTCCTTGTAATACTATTTTTAAGAAATTTAGTCCCAATAATATTATTTTTTAAGGAATTTAGTCCCTATGCATTATTAACAACGATTGAACTGAAATCCTTAAAAAAGAATTTTACAAGGACTAAATTCTTAAAAATCAAAGAGTACAGGACCTAAGACACATTTCGACCGTATAAGTACAAATTGTATTCACTGCAGCAAGCACTTAAATTATTCCAAGGTTTATTCCAAGGTTTCATCCAGACTCAAGTTCCCTAACTAAATGCCTAAGGAACCCACGGCAATGGCAAAATCTTTGGAGCACACAGAACCAAATTTTAATTACATGTTGACATGCTGATTGAAGATGGAAAGATATATACACACATAGCTTATATAAATTTACAATTTCAGTAATAGATGTTCACGCCTTGAATAATATTTTTGCTTCAAATAAAAGGAAAAAAATTACCTCTAGACTTGAGAGCACAGCTGCAGGTACTTCAACTAAGTCCTTCAGATTTCTCTCGGGCAGAATAACTCTCTTGATACCATATCGGTGTGCTGCTAGTATCTGCATATTTCATATACAAAAAAAGGTTGAAGATGATGAGAAGCAAAAGCATTTCCTGTCAATCTGGTTGTTACTGAATATTATCTGATGCAATGATAAGAATGCAATCAAACATATCAAAATACCTGCTGCTAATACTTTATGATGAACATATTATTCACTGGCAACAAAGAAAAGTAATAGGACTAGCTCACGAAACACACCTTATCCTTGATACCACCAACCGGTAACACAAGACCCCTCAGTGTCATTTCTCCAGTCATTGCTGTGTCTGCTCTTACACTTTTCCGGCTAAACAGTGAAACCAATGCTGTTACAAGGGTCACACCAGCTGAAGGCCCATCCTTTGGTACAGCCCCAGCAGGAAAATGTATATGAATATCTCTACCCTGCAGCAGATTGGTTTCCTCAGCAGCTGCCAACTTAAGTTCCGCTGCCCTGGATCTTACCTGAAAAATTGGAAACTCTTTCAAACCAAACCTTTAACAGAATATAAAGTTTTCAATTACTATATATTGGTTTGACAACTCTAGCAAGCATGGTAAACAAAGGCAACCACACAAGCAATTAAAAGCATGATTAATGACAAAGAACAGAATTGACGAGAGTAAAATTAACAAACAGCATTCATATTACGTCTGTTTATGGAATCAAAAGAAAGTTGACGGGAAGTACTCTATTGCAAGTTTTAAATAATTCAGGTTGTCAATTTGCAAATTTGAAAGATTGGATAGCAATTTGAAGAAAATGTGTGATCCAAGAGATTTTACCCATATCATCACCAATTGGGTTAGCAATTTTTAAATCACCAGCAGCAGCATTCAGGTTGACGATTTTTACACAACACAAATGTAGAAAATATATGTGATCCAAGAGATATACCCATGTCAGTGCTATTTGGGCTGATTCTTTAATAACATCACCAAGTTGCCCAGTAAGATGCATTTCACCATTTCCAACCATTGCTGTAGCCTCCACAAATTGAACCTCTCCTCCAAAAGTGGTCCAAACAAGTCCAACAGACACTCCAGGAGTGGCTACGCGATCTGCAGCTTCTCGGTCATCATACCTAGGAGGCTGCATTAGAGAGTAAAAAAGCATCCTCAGGCATGTTAAAAAATAATGTGAACTCAACCTACAGTCAGCATAAACCTACTCGAGTCTTTGGACCATATCATACATGAAGAGCTTATGCCTGAAGCAGTAGGAAAGGAAAAACCCAAAACCATACCATGAAAAATGCACCCCTTCCCCAGTATTTAATTTTAAAAAAGGTAGGCCAGTGCCCAACCACATTAAGATGAAACCAAATGAGGAACACCAATTTTGAAGATTCACAAAAGTGAATCATAATGCTCAGCCAAAAAAAAGTGAATATCCTGATAAAAGAAAGAGTTAATATAAGGAATTATTACCCCCAATATTTTTTCCAGCATAGCTTCATCAACAACCAAAGGTGAGGCAATTCTGAATGCATTTGATATCTCATGATTATTTACACCCATCGGAATAACTTCCATTTCCATCTCAGCTCCCTCAGCGAGCCTGTTATCCAGCAGCGGAGAAGCTAGCTTATGAATATCTTTGCTAACTGAGACAGCCTGTTCCTGGTCAGCAACTCTTACAGCAGCAGCACGAGCCAAAGCAGCCAGGTTCCTCTCCAGATTACGAACACCAGCTTCCCTGGTGTACCTTTGAATGACAAGTTTAACCATGTCCTACCACAATTAAAAAAAAACCATTAAGGGAAGATTACCCATTATAAGGTGTTGAATTGCAAAGAAATAAATAAAATGCAATGTATTGTATAGCAAAACTCGATGCTTATATTCTGATCAAATTTACTTCTTTTATCTTGCATCTTACTCTGACATCTCAATCTAAATTCTAAAAAGAAGAGTTCACAAAATGGATGTAGCTTCATTTTGCTATATGTTGAAAATGAAACAGTTTAGAGATCTTCCATGGAGGTAATCAACAAATATCATACAGTAACCTCAGCCTTGAAAACAAGATGGTATAGACTTCAATACTTTATATTAGATCCTGTAATCATTTATTCAACCATAGAGGTGATAGGGATGCAAAAAGGCCAATTGACAAATTTCTCAAAACATCTCAGTGCTCAGGGAGCCATGACAACAGCACCCAATATTATCAAGTATGGAAGCATAAGCCTCAAAATGCAGGAAAAGATACATGTGTGACAAATACCTCTGGAATTTGAAGGAACGCATAACTCAATCCATGCTGATCCAACACTCGTGGAATCAAATATTGCATGGCTATTCTGAGCTTTTCTTCAGCTGTATACCCAGGCAGCTCAATGACTTCCATCCTGTCCAATAGTGGAGGAGGAATAGGCTGCACCCTATTTGCGGTGGCCACAAAAATCACCTTTGACAGGTCAAATGGCACATTCAAATAGCTATACAACGTAAGTTAAAGAACCACAAGGGATCCACTCACATTCATGAATTTGTTAATGACGAAGGTGATAGATGCAAATAAACATGTAAAATCTGCAACAATGTCATATACAGTTCAAAAAAGCTAATTGAATAAATCTTAAATAAAAGCCATCTAGTTAAACAGCAATGCAATTTTTTTCAAGGATTTACTAATAACAGATCGGTAAAGTTAAAGCTGGTTTATCGAAAACCAAGGTTCACTATGATAATCTAGACCTAGGAGAAAGTAGGATACTGGTCATTGAAAGATTTATTCTGCTCAGGATCAAGAACCTCCAGTAGAGCTGAAGCTGGATCACCACGCATATCAGAACCTGTCTTGTCAATCTCATCCAATAACATGACTGGGTTGCAAACACCTACTCTCTAGAAGCCAGAGGTTAAAAGAACATTACAGTAAGACCAATAATCATTGACATATAATATAAATGCTCCCATGAAGATGTTGGCAACCTTAATTTATGGGGGAATTCAGTTCTCCAAACTTCAGATTCTATATATTCTCCACAGATGGTAGAAATGTGAACAATCATTCATCCTATGATAAATTTGATACTACAATCTACAAACTTATTTTTCATTTAGTTGTAAGCAACTCTGTCAAGTTCTCAAACTAATTGATGAGGCAGAAGCACCATCATTCCCCAGATATATTAATTCAGTAATTCACAGAATCACAGTACCAATAGCAAGGCTTAGAAAGCTACCATGCAGCACACCAACACAATGAAATGGTAGAAGAAAAAAGCTGAATAAATCAAATTCCAGCATATTTAAGACTGGAAATTCACTGCACAGATTAAAGTTAACTCAGCTCATGAAGTTGCAGAGTCTAATAACATCCCTACAGACTAACAAATAATTGGGGAAGAAAGAAGACTAAGAGGATCTCTCAAAGAATGAGAACAAAGAGGTTGCTAAATGTTCTGTTAAAACAATCTAAACTTCTAACGGATATTCATTTTCTTAACCAGTTGGGGCAAACAACATTCTAAAAAACAATATGCAACATAGCAGAATACAAAGTCTAGAATCACATTCTTATTCAAGAAACCCATTTACCTTTAACCCATCAATAAGACGCCCTGGCATGCTTCCAATGTATGTTCTCCTATGCCCTCGGATATCAGCCTCATCCTTGACACCACCTAGGGAAATACGAACAAATTTTCTTCCCAAAGCAGCAGCAATTGATGATGCTAATGATGTTTTCCCCACACCTGGTGGGCCAACAAAGCACAGAACAGGACCTCTTGCATCTGGCTTAAGCTGATTGCAAATAATTGAAACCAAATGAACATCAAAGTGAAAATATGAGATTTAGCCTTCAAGGCAACAAGAAATAGATAGATGGTCAACCTTGCGAACAGCCAGATATTCGATAATCCGTTGCTTGACCTTCACTAAACCATAATGATCACAGTCGAGGCGGTCTTTAGCAGCTTTAAGATCCAATTCCTGTTCTTCGCTAGCCTTTTGCCAAGGCAGATCAGCAAGTAGCTCCAGGTAAACGCGTGAACTATTATATCCAGGTTGCTGTGGTTGCATTTTCTTAAGCCTCCTGGAATGAAAACAATAAACAAACTTTGTTAAACATCATATCCAATTAAAATATAGGATACTAACAAGTTCAGATCACATGACTTTTTCAAAAACGAAAGAGGGAAACAAGAAAGGTAAGTGATACCATCACAACAAATTAAATACTATAAGATAATTTGCTTATAGCTTCCATTAATATTCTCAGGACATAGAATGCTATGAACAACTACTTTTTTGCCATTGAAAGACATTATCTACACATCCTAACAAAATCGTGCCATTTATACTATTATCTCGAATAAATATACCTCAACTCCCTCTGTGCATGCTTCCAGATATTTGAGGGCATCCCTGCACTCTGCATCTTTCTTTCCAGGGCAGCCAAATCATCCTCATCATCATCATTGTCTCCAAGCTCCTCTTTTATGGCCCTCATCTGGAAAATATTTGAATACGCAAATGATAAATAATTATGCAGCAAAACTAACAAAATTAAAAGTATGTAACAATCAAGTAAAGGTTTTTCCAGCAGCCAACACAGTTCCGAATATTAGACATGAGAAACCACCAAAAATGATCTTTACATTTGGACCATATCCACCCCTACTGGTGCTATACAAACAGCTGGAGAACAACAAACCATTAATTATTAATTATTTCATAACTACCAAAATCTGCGGTGCTCTCTACTTCCCACTCCCTCAACAACACCAGTAGTTGAAGTAAGAAAGCTAACCTGCTGTCGCAAAAGAAATTCCTTCTGTGATTTTGACAATTGCCCTTCAACCTTTTGTGTAATCTTCTCTGCTACACGTATTGACTGCACAAGTAATACATTAAATAACTGGATAAAATCCAGAAGAAGAATAAAATTGACTTAATATTAACCATAAGTAAATAACGCACCTGCAAATGCCTGTCAACTAACTCGGTAGCTTTTGAAAGCCTTAATTTAGGATCAACAGAATCCAACATAGAGAGCTGCTCTTCAAAACTCATCTCAAAGCTAGCAACAAATATATCGGCCAATTTGTGAAGAGGCAGTGTCTCCAAAAGAACTTTTACCCTTCCACCAGTTTTTTGTTTCTACAAGCAGCACAGGATCATGAATTATCACTAGAATGACAACATAAATACATAGCCAAAGTTTTCATTCAACAAGAGAACTAACAATCTTAATTGGCTTTATGGCATAGGTCATAGTTACTGATAAGTGAAAAAACAGGTTACATATTTTACCTGCTCAAGAACAGAAATAAGCTCCATGGCAGTTGCTTTGAACTGGCGAGACAAAGTTACAAAATCTGGATCTTGCTCCACTTGCTCCATCTCTTTAAAAATTTAGAAGGTACAAAAAACTCAGTGTACAGAAGACAACATAACCTAAAAACAATTCATGGTAGATTCATAAACAGCATTCCATTCCAATGTAATTGAAAAAAACACTTGCAACTTAAATAAAATAAAAAAAAGCATAACACACTAGACGCATCCATGGTTAATTCTAGCCAAAGACCATTGGACATAATCTTTATTCTGGAACTAGAGATTCAGAGAGAGAGGCTTGCAGAAGAAAATATATGTGCAACAGAAAAAAGCACCATGCGTACACAAGAAAGAATGTGATACCAACTTACCAGCCTTAGTCATCTCAAGTGGAGAAATCTTTGCAGTGCAGTAAGGTCCTCGTGTGCTAAGTTCCTCTACATTGAATCTGCATAAACCTTCAAGTACGACAATGTATGTGACCCTCCCACTTGGTTTCTCAACTCCTCTTGACAGATGCAAAGCACGTGCTGCCACTCCCCTGAGATATAAAATCAAAACATAATCCAGCACCATAAGTAGAGAATTACCTCATAAAAAGAACTAAATGAGTAAATGACAAGGTCTTGAATCATGAAATTCGCAAAAAAGAGACATGCTTGATGCAACAATATCAGAAAGCACAAAACAATAGCAGATGATGGATTGAAAAGTACCTGTTATGCCAATGAATAACTTGAGGGTGGTTTTTCCCATCAACCTTGTGAACATCTGATGTGGTAACCTGAGCTTTTGAGCTTCGCTCTCCGGATTCACTTCCTACACCTGAAAAACCGTTAAAAAAATCACTCCATAACTATAGACATTCTTTCAAACACGGACAATAAAAACTGGACTTCTTGATAGCCAAACAAGTCCACAAACAACAACCTTGAGATAACACGGAATCCATCGAGGTCATCTCAGCAGCATCTCGAACCGGAAGAATTCCGATTAATCCTTTCTCTTCTCGCTGCCATAACTCTTGCTCCACCAATTTAACACTGCAATAGTCAAACCACTTTATTCTGTAATATTCAAACTTCCAAGCAGAACAAATAACGAACCAATCCCTGATTCTACTAGCTTTATATTTATTATCCAGCTAAAATAAACAAAATATTAAATAAAATCCAACGGTAACTTGGAACAGAATAATTCAAGTAGAATTAGAGAAATAGCTTGAATTTCCACGAACCGAAATTGAACGGTTAATATGAGTTCGAATTAGAAAACTCTAAAGGCGCGTAAGCTTAACGAGAAAAACCAGAGGAAAATAATACGTAGGATAAAGCCTGATATGGTAAGTCAGAAAACAACGCAACAAAAACCAAAAAAAAAAATCAATTCGTTCATGTTTTGTAAAGAGAATCGGATAAACGATCCTAATTCCAATTTTTGAAACCATAAAAAATTCCATACAGTGATTTCTAGGGAAACAAACGCACAAGAAAAGAAGATTTTATAACTCATTAATAAGGTTTAGTCAAATATCAAACAAAACATTTAAAAAGAAAAGGGACCTGCTGTGTGAAGTGCAGCGAATTCGAATAAAGGCGCCAGGCAATAAAACTTTGTTTCTGAATGGAAGAATTGCTAAACGACCTGGCAACTCCACCGATTCCGCCATTTTCAGCTTCTCCAAGAAAAATAGCAATAAAATTGGAAACCAGAAGAGAGAGAGATCGCTAACTTGTTTAGTTGGGGTTTAAATAGAAGAAAATAATAATAATAAAAAAAAGAGACGGAATCAGAGATGGAGTAGCGTCTGGCACCTGCCTAACCTGGCTAGGTGTGATGGGGCTGTTTGCCTCTTTTTATCGCCCTTTTTTCAATTTTATGCCATACGAAAATTATTGAGTTTCATTCTATTACTTGTTGTATTTTTGTGAGTTACTACTAAAATAGAATAATATATATATATATATATATATATATTCTTTCAATGCTCCTTGCCTTTCCTTTAAAATTTTCTTATTGAATGAACCTTATTAGTAGAATTTCTTTATATAGAGCTCTAAGTTGGAATTTCCAAATTTCTTCGTTTCGTTAGATAATGTTCCGAATTCCGACAAATCAAGTCAAAATTGTCTCTCAATTTTATTATTTCCCACGTGCTGATTTGATATGTCATGTATAAATATAAAGTAAAATATTAATAATTTATATGTTTATATTTTATTTTTATTAAAATTATATATCATAATTTATTTTGTGTGAAAATAAAAAAAGTTTTTATCTAATTTTTTATATAATTTTTATTAAAATTTTAAAACATATTATTTTTATAATTTTTTATATTATTTTTTGATGATATTTTAAATTATTAAATTTATTGATATAATTATTATAAAAATCTACAAAAAAAGTTATTAAATAGAAAGTATGATGACGCCTGCTTTTTTTTTTTTTACCAGATAAAAGCTTACCTGACCAACTAAAATTGAGCATGTACAATAATAAAATATTATTTTTTAAATCAATATAAATCATAATTAGATAATAAAAAATTATATTATGAAAATTTTTAATCCATGTCATATGATATTTAATTAAAATGATATTTAAAAACTAAAATTTTAATTAATATTTATATTTTAAAATTCTAAAAAATAATATTGAAAATGAAGAGATAGATTTTTAATTAATATTTATATTTTAAAATTCAATTAAATAATTGTTTAAATAATATTGAAGTTATAAAAATTAATATCATCAATTAACTTTAAATTATAATAAAATATTTAATGTATTATTTAAATTTTAAAAAATTTTAATATGATATATAAATTATAAATATATTGATTAATATAATATTTAAAAAATTATTTATTTTTCATATTTTATCATTTAAAGTTACATATATTAAAAGTTAATACCATTCTAATTAATAAATTTATAATTTAATTATTATATTAAAATTTTAAATTTTAAATATTAAATTAAATATTTTATTATAATTTAAAAAATGTTAATGATAGTCTAAGTTACAATATGGAATGCAGATGTTGAAAATAAAATTGTACCTTCTAAAAAAATAAAAAGCTAGATTGAAGTGACTGATGATACATTGATATGAAAAAAGAAGTGCCAATCCATAATTATTGAGTGGACTAAGAAAAATATCTTTTCACATTTTTGGTAAATAAAGCAAAAAAAATACAAGTAAAATATAATGTGAACGTCAAGCACACGAAGCCTTTAAGGGGGTGGGAGGGGACCATACAAATATATAAAAAAAGGAAATATCTTCCAGTCCCCGATGGGGAGACGTGGGTTTTTTGGCGAGTTCTGAGCCGTTGGATGTCCGGATAAGGTGGGGAGATACGCGTCAGCGTGCTGATGGATAGGATGATCAAATACTGCCGGGGCTGCGGGAGAGTATGTGGGCCTACAGTGACGTAATGCCACATGGCCAATTCTGATGGGATTATAAGGTCGTGTTTGGATTCAATTAAATATATAATCACTCGTATAAGGACCCTTAAAGTTCCACGTTTCAAAGGGTGGTTAATTCTCCATCGGCCATAGCTCTTCTCTATCCACCATGGATCATCGTGGATTTTTTTTTTTATTAATAATAATTTTTATGAAAAAATATGTTATGCATATAAAGATTTTAAAATTTTTTTAAGGACCACGATGCATGCCAACCTCTAGCAACAGGCGTGACTATGGATCTTAGATTTTTTTTTTTTTTTTTTTAGCAATTTTAGCTTTTTTTTTGTTGATTTTATGATTTATTGCAAAATTGATAAGAAAAAATGTACTTGTCAAAAAAAAACTCAAAAAATTTCAACATTCATTATCTTAGACAAAATTTTTGATGGAAGTGTGAAACATGTGTATGACATATAACTAACCAATAATTTAATTGAAAAAATTTGAGCAATATGAATTAATTGTCACTCGATGACAAAAACATAAAGAGTCATTTTCATCCCATCAAAGTCTTGCTTGAAATTAAAATGGCAATTGCATTTGAAATACCTATTAAAATGTTAATTACGTTTTTATTTCAAAATTGAATTTCAATGTAAAAAGAATGCATCTTCCTCGCACTAAAAATTATAATTGAATGAAGCTTAAATTCGGTTTAGTTGTTGATTAATGAAGCAATAAGCTTAAACTTAACTAAAATTTTAGCATGAAATGATTATATGAGTAACTTCCAAACTTAATTGATCATGATTGTAGGATCATCAAGTGTCAGATGAATAATAGATATATCTCATTAACTTGGTGTGATGCACTCATGACTTTATAAATTCAAAAGCTATTTTTAATCTTCAAAAAAAAAATTATGTTCTACATTTTATGTAATATGTAGTTGCACTTTTTCCTTCTTTTTTTTTTTACATATAATAGGATAAAAAAATTATTATTTTTATGGAAAAATACAAAATACTTAAAAGAAATATTGACAATCATTTTTACGTATATATATATTTACACATGGCATGTTGGTACATCATATCAATCATTGTTTGACATGTCCCTTGTGCGCTCAAATTCATAATTTCAACGTGCGGTTTACTTAGAAAAGGGTGTTAAGCCGGCTTACTAAGTCTTTTCTCCCAATAATTTCCAATTTGGTAAACTTTTATTATTGTTGGGTACATTACATTTAATAATTCACGTATTTAAATTGAGTAAAATATTAAAATTTTATATTTATATTATATTTTATTTATAAATTTTTATATTGTAATTATCATCAATATAAAGATATAAAATATATTTTTTATTTTACTAAATTTATATATAATAAATATTAAAATTTTTAATTATTTTATAATCATATTTTTTATATTATATTTATATAATATTTGTTGCGCACAATCTCATTCTGAAAAACAACTAAGATTTTCTGTACCAAGTCAACCGTGCCGATGTGGGAGTCAATGGTGTGGGACAATGGATGTGATCGGTTCTCTATTGCAACTTTGCAAGTTGGCATGACCGCACCTGTCCAATATCATCTACAAGTTTGGCAGATGGATGATATTTTTTTGTGCTTCAATTATGAGCATTTTACTATATTTTTAGTGGGTAGGTGAAACATTGAAGAACAGCTCAATAATTAGGTTGCTTTGCTCCATCTACTGGTCCCAAATCATTATTGTTTTAGAAGTGCTAAAGGTTTTGATTTAAAAAATGAGAAGAAGGATTATTTTTTAGATTCTTTTAACATCTTTTTATACTTTTTCTTTTTGTTTTTTAAAAAGTTAAGATTAGCTTATAAATTTATTCATAGTTGTATGTGGTATTAAATATAGAGTTGTTAGTTTAATAAAATAATTTAAGAAATTTTTTATATTATTTTTGAAATCATCGTTATAAATTAATTATTAAGATAATAAAATCATCAAAATAATTTTTGTTAATTTTGAATCACAATGTTGGTTATAATATAATAAATTATTAATTATTTTTATAAACAAAAAGGTCATCAAATATAAAATATAGAAAACCTTATTATTAGTAATAAAATTATTTAAAGAAAACAATAATTATTTATTTGTATATAATAAATAATTTATAAAATAAAAAATTTAGTTTTATAAAAAATTATAAGGTATGAATCCATTCTAATGACAATAATTTAAAATTATTGACATGTTCATATTTAAAAGTCGCATAAATTATCTTGTATAAAATAATTAAAAATTGAAGATTTAGTCACAAAAACTGTTTGGTTTTTATTTGTATTGTAGAGCAAATATTTTTATTTTTTTATAATAAATAAATAAAACGGATAAGGGGAAGGGGAAACACAACTGGACCTGACAAAAATATTGGGCCTAGGCTTGAGCCGAGTCGAGAATGCCAGAAGGGTTTAACCGTTTTGGGTTGTTTCCATTGACCTTTCCGGGTGGTCTGGCCGTTGTCATATCTTAACCAAGTCCAATTAATGCCCCTTGAACCACTTGATGTGTCATTGCATAGTAAACGAACGAATATTTGTTATTATTCAATTTATTTATATTAAATTTGAATAATAATAAATAATTAATTAATAAATTTAAATAAAAAAATTATTATTCGTGATAAATTCGAAATAAATATAAATAATAATTTTTAAATATTTAATACTTAAATTCATTTAAATTTTAATAATAATAATAATAAATTAAATTCTTATCAGAATTTGTTATCTGTTTACATATATAAAATATATAAAATTTTATATTTGTAGATGAATTCAAATATTAAAAATAATTTTTGTTTATTATTAATTAAGAGTGAACTTAAATTTTAAATTAAATTTTTATTTATTTTATATTTTAATAAAAAATTTAAATAAATAAATATTTTAATGAATTCATATATTTAAATAATTTTAAATTTAAATAATAATATTAAACTTAAATGAATTCAAATATTAATGAAAATATCTAAAAAAACTATTAATATCCACTTCATTATCATTCTTATGAACCCCTCGGAGAAGTCGACTATACAAGCTTGGTCCAGAGTCAAATGACCTACATACACAAGCAAATATAAACATTTTCATTAAAAAAAAAAGAAGCAGTCTTTATTTGATAATAAATTTTACCCATTTTTCATAGAGAAAGAAAATTTAATAAAAGATGAGTTTTTTTTTTTTCAATGAAATAAATGGATCTAGCAAGGTATTTATTTTTTTATTTAAAATTGTTAAAATTTAAATTCTGATTATTAAAATTAAAATTTTAATATTTTATCACAAATTCCATGGTTATCGACATATATTTGCTTGATTCATCAGTTATTAAAGAAATACTTCAATTTTTAGCGGGAACCTCTATCAAGCTAAGGGTTGAGATTTAAATAAACAACATAAATTAAACTCTCAATTTTTTTGTGCTTAAAATTCAAAA